TGAGCTAATTTGTAAAGGATAGTGCATCCTGGTAACATAGAAATGTGGCTAAGTGATCTACAAATTCGGCATGAGTCGTCTACAGAGTTATTTTCCATAAGTTCCCCAGAGAAATATATGTGGATTTTCTCAGGTCAAGAGGACTAAACTTATGCATAATGTGAATTGTTATGATACTGATGTTTTACAGCTATGGAAGTTAATTTAATTCCTCAGAAATTGAAATATTTACCTTCAATGGTTATTATTTTATACATTCTACAAAAATCCAGACAAGTTGCGAGTGCAATTCTTACTTTTAAAATATAACTTAGCAGTTATTCTCCCGCTTTCTTAGCATACCTTCGTGGTGTAGTGGTCAGCACGCTCGACGCACTTTTGAGAGGTCCGCAGTCCGTGTCCCGGCGAGGGCACTGCTCATTTTTCATATCTCCGACTTCACAAATACCTAATGCCTCTACAGTTGCGCTCGAAATACAAAAGCAGGATTTGGCGATTGAAGCCCTTAATCCCCAGCTGCCCTTTAAAAGGGGGAGTATGTAAGGAATTTCTCCCACCTTCTTAGCATGCCTTCTTGATGTAGTGCTCGGCACATATTCGAGAGATCCGTAGTTCGAGTCCCGGCGAAGGCGTTGTTCATTTTTCACCCCCCTGCTTGAAAAATATCTGTGTCTCTACAAACGTTCGAAAACAACATCTTTTGGAATATTGTAGACATGTTCATTCAAAGAAAGAAATGTGAAGTCATTAGGTTATTTTTAAGCAGGATACATGATAAATTAGCAATGCCCTCGCCGGAACTCTAACCTGCGCCTCTAAAATACACGCCGAGTGTGCTACCGTTAAACCACGAAGGCATACTAGAAGGAAAGAGAAAATACCTTACTAATCATCTTTCGTAACATAAGAAATTACACTTATGTAAACCTTAAAAGTGGACCATTCTTAACACTTTCTTATTTCCTTAACGACTGTGGGATTTAACACATATTAATTGATTGTTTCAGCTATACAACTTCACGCTTTCATGCTTTTACAAATAATGTTATTTTTCAATCTATTAACGCTAACGACGTGGCGTAAATTTTCTTTAGATTACGTTATTACGACACATTTTATTACCACAACATATGAATAACTTTATTCGTATTAACGACAAATGATGCATGCCATTAATTATCTTCCTTCATGTGATACTAAAATTCGTCCGCTACTTTAAACATTTTTGTTCTCTTAAATGTACCCATTCGACGAAGAGGTTAGAGGAAAATTACGGTAAAGGTCAAAATTACTTTCACAGCATTTCAGGAGGAAATGTCGTAAATTACGGTATAGCTCATTCACGTTTGAAAGAAAAAAATAGAAAAATGTAATGGGGACCTGTTATTTAAAAAATGTGTCGTGAATACAAAACAGCGGAAGCAAATTACTTTAATCATCTTCTCTAGCATCGGACGGAAAAACTCTTGAAACGCTCTTTTTTCCATGAAATCCCATTTACATAATCAATTTTAATCACTTTCATTAGTCAGAAAAATCTCATACTGAGTTCTTGAAGCGGATGTATAAATCTGCAATATCCAATACGGGTAACTGCGTTGTTGAAGAATGTTAATAAAAATTAAAATACTTGAAGCTTATTTTGCTAACATAAAAAGAGTTATTTCACATAAAATTGAAAATACAGTGGCAGATATTATTGAAATAGTTTAAGGAACATAAGATTACAAGAAAGGCTAATTTTCATTAAGTAAATCATTTTGAAAGAAACTGTTATTGACATTCTAAAAACTGAGAAGTTGATAGTGGTGAAAGCTTTACCACATACTGGGCTATTATACTAAATCCTTTATACATATTAAGTAGATGCTTTCAGTTTATGCATTTGTTCTATAATAACATCATTATTTATGTCTGATTATCATTATTTTGTCAAAAACATTAAATAAATGGATCTAGTTGAATTAATGAAAACGAAAAAAAATATATATATATAAACCACATATATTTTTAATACAGTGAGGGTAAGTATAACTTTGGAATTGCACTACGACTGCTTTCATTACTGTACTGGTGTCATTAATATCTTAATTCTTTGTAGTTTCTGTGTTTAAATGTTGTAATTATAATTAACCATTATATTGCAAATAACACACATTTAATATTAAAGAAAAACTAAAAATAAAATTAGAATATTATGCTGTATTGCAAAGTACACATATAAAAATCATTGCTTCAAATTTGGTAATTAACGTTCTTTCAAATATTTTGAATTTTTTCAAGCAATTTGGTAATGAATATTCAAAATTTTAATAACTTAGTATTATTTAAATCATTGTTAAAATTTAGCTTTTGATGTTAATTTTAAGTAAAATTCTTTAATTCTTTTCAAGAGGTTAAATTTCCAATATTTCTTATGCGAAAGTATTCATTTTATCCCGATCACAAAATTGTGACCTAACTACATACAGAAATCATATCCTTTACTTTTCGAAATAAAATGTGCACGCTAGGTAGCACTCCTTAACGCATCCTGTTGTTTAAAATGTGGGTATCTGTGATTTCATTCATTTCACATCAGGTGCTGTCTTTCCATAACGTTTCCGAAATGTTCACTGCTCAGTTATTGGGGATTTTGTGTCTGCAAGCCACACGACACATGGTGCCTTTTTCTGCAACGAAGCAATTCAAACGATACAGCTAACACAACGCTCCTAGCGGCAGAAGTGGTGTTTGTAACACAGCTGTAGAGACATTTCGTGAGTTTCTTGTGCATCTACAACGAAAAATGCAGAATTAGAACTATCAATATGATTTTTACGAACGATATACGATGGGTACAGGATGAGTCTAAATTGATTTTACATAAGAGGGGTGATATTAACTATTCGGGCGAGAAAAAAACTACCGTGGAACATAGATTCGCATTCCACTCTGAGAGGCAGAATACCCGCACGGTGGATCTGACGTGGCGGACCTGTGACTTTATCTCCTCGCTCATCGTACTTCAGCCCGCTGGACTTTTTCTTCTAAGGGCACATGAAATCTTTAATGCACTAGACGTCTGTGGACTCGGCTGAAGACGCCGCAGCGAGAATCATTGTTGCCGCAGACAAAATTGACGCAACATCAGTAATCTTCGAGAGGGTACGTCGGTCATTCATACCAGTAATCTTCGAGCCTGTGCAACAACACGTTTGGTCGCCACTTTGAGAATTTGTTGTTATTTTTTCTCTGGTCAATAAATCAAACTGTTCAACTTTTGGTACCATTCATTCATTTTCCCAAAACTGTTGTAAGTTTATGTTGGAATTCTAATTTTACGTTATGTGGAGTGCGAACCTGTGTGCCATGGTAATTATTGTTCATCTGAATGAATACTATTATAAGCCATCTTATTTTGAAACACAAATTAGACTCACCCTGTATATATATATATATGTGTGTGTGTGTGTGTGTGTGTGTGTGTGTTTACAGGGTGTCTGAGCAAATCGGTTACAAACTTTCAGGAGAGTGCGACTGGACGATGGAAAAGCACATTAAGATGCATGGTTGGAAACGCTTTCCTGGCGTGGTAGTGACGACACAAAACACACGAAAAGAAAGACATGAACAAAATGACAATAATGTTTATTATGCTTAGTGCATTGGAAAGCAAGAAATATGAAAAAAAAAAAAAAAAACAGACGAACGTCGCCAAAGAAGGTGTTTGAAATTATGACGCGGTCGGTGATGCAGGAACTGTACGTCATGCATCTTCCATGCGATATTCCATGCGGAGATGTGAGGTCTGCATCACAGTCCGGGGTCGTAATTTCGAACACTTTCTTTTATGACGGTTTTGTCTGTTTTTGTTCTTACTTGTTGGTTTCTGCTTTACTAAACATAACAAAGCATGTGCTGTCACACTGTTTGTGTCCTTCCAATTTTTGGTGTTTTGTGTCGTCAATACCGCGCCAAGAAAGGGTTTCTGACCATGTATTACTATGTGATTTTCCATCGTCTAGTTGTACTTTACTGAAATTTTGTAACCGATTTGCTGAAACATTCTGTGCATATGTATATAGATAGAGAGAGAGAGAGAGGGAGAGAGAAAGTTTTTTATTGCATTTTATCTTATTCAGTTGTTGGAATAATATAGCTAAATGTGTTATTCAGAGTTTAATTTTGTAAATGAGAACAGGGAAATGAGAACACATTTAATCAATGTTGAGAATTTCTTTACGAAAAGCAAAATTGTAAAGATTTATGGACTATATTGCTATGTTATTGCTGAAAGAATGTAATAACTAATTTGTAATTTTAAGTCCAAACATGTGAAATAAAGTGCGCTAAATTTTATTGAGTAATAATATATGCAATACGTACAGCTGTTTTGAACAGATTTTATATTTCCACAAGAATGAAAAATTTCAGTTTTTTTGTTGCAAATTTTTAGTCTTATCAGGTTTTTTCGAGACGGAGCTAATTAAGTTGGTGCAGCCTCAGAACTGCTTCTGAGTTGTTTAAATTTAAATTCGATAGGTTTGAATAAAAGACTGCCTCACTGCTCCTTCTTTTAATAAATGGCAAAATATTTCTCATTTTCCTTTATGCAAAATGCACAGATTTCAAAATGATATGTAAATTTTGCTGGGAGAGTATACAAATTAAGATCTTAGCAAACATTTTCTGCCTTAAAGTGATCATAATTTACCCTTCGAAATCTTTAATCGATTACATTTTAATCTAATTTAATCAAGAAAATAAATTTCCTTGTTGCACATTAAACAATCGGGGCACAACTAAATTGCCGCTCCCGTAATTAATAATATTAAAGCCCTCATTATTTAACATCTTAATTATTACATAGAATAGTTAAACTAAGCACTGTGTTTTAGTTTATTTCTCAAAAATTAAACGGGAAAGAAAGTTTTAACTTGCGATGTGATGAACTGCCATTTTTCACTGTACTCATAAGCAACGAATAATAATTTTATCTTCTTTTTTTTCTTTCACAGCCGCTCCTCTTATCAGCCCTTTCAGCTTTTCTGATAGTCTCGAAGAAGGGATGAGGAGTTCGATTATCTGTTCTGTAATAGCCGGCGATCCTCCTATATCACTTACTTGGTATCGAAACGGTCGTCTACTGAAAGAAACCTCCCCCGACATCCAAATTGTACCCATCACTGACTTCGTTTCCTCCCTCATCATTAATCATGTTTCGAGGCATCACAGTGGAAACTACACGTGTTTTGCTTCGAACAGCGCTGCTGCCACCAATTATACAGCTACCATGGTTGTGAAAGGTACATGTGATGTGCTATCTTTTATCCTCACTAATTAACATCTAATAAAAAGGAACGTTGCAGGTAATAAATAATGCACATATTTGAAGCATATATGTAAAAGTAATTCATCATTCCTTCTTCATGTGTAAAGTTTTAATTTCAATGTCTTTAATCGTAGTTATATTTAAAACTCATTACGAATTGCTTTAATTTAGATAAAATACAAGTGCATTCGGAGTAGCAATGATTTACAAGTTGTACTGTGAAATTAATTGAATATTAAATGTTTTTCATTACGAAGAAAATTAAAACATCTTTGGTTCACTTTGAAGTTATATTTTTGCAATTGAAGTCAACGTAATTTCTAAAGGGTTAATTTCATGCTATATATTTTTAATTATGTGAGCAAAATGAAATGAAATTTTTATGTTTACTTTCTCTTCTAATTATGCTTTTTTTAATATGTCTTAAAAATGAGATTATACTGCAAATTGTTTCTTTATATTTGGTATACTTCATGTATGTAAATCAAATTGCCAGAAAGAGTATTGTTCATGCGATGCGTGCGTTGTTATACAACAATTTCAAATTAACTAGAAGTGGACTGTACTAAATATTTTATTCAACAACTTTAATCAAATGCGTGCCATCTTTCAAGCGATGACTTACTACTAATAACAACAGCAATAAAAAAAAAAAACTGAGTAAGCGTTTACAGGGTTGCTGTAATGAACATCTGCGCCATGCAAGGCGCCAAGAAGAGAAAAAAATGACGTAATCTTACAGTTAAATAGTCTTAATGACTTAACATACCCCCCGGCATTGAAGGGTTACTTCAATAATTTCGTGCGATAATACTCATAATAACCTACAAAATTGTACAATTACTACCTTATACAATAATGCAATACGAATAACATCTCTTAATTCAATATAATAATATTCAATTTTCAATACAAAATTTTATACACAATACAATGTACAATACAAGTTTTATAATAATAAGCTAACACTTAACTAACTTAGGAAGCTTCTTCTTGGGGTAAAATTGCAATTTTTGTAATTCCACGCTTAATGATGCCCTTTGCTGTCTGTATTTCTACTACTCTAACCTTACCGTCAACTCCAGGAAAAATTCTTGTAATGCGCCCTAACACCCATCTACAGACAGGAAGCTCATCCTCCTTAACTAGTACTAGCATACCTATTTTAATATTCGTTTGTTCTACCTTCCATTTTGAACGCTGTTGTAGTGTGTGTTTAAATAGTCCCTATGCCAACGATTCCATATCAACTGGACAAATCTGGTAGTTCGTTTCCATCTTGAGAGTCTGTTTTCAGGTATATCAATTAATTCGGGTTCTACTATAGCATTCAAGGGTCTTCCAATGAGAAAATGACCTGGTGTTAATGCCTCTAAATCATTTACATCGGAAGATAAGGGGAGTAATAGGGCGAGAGAATTTAAAACAGACTCTATCTGAGTTACTACAGTTAATAACTCCTCGAAAGTCAACCTTGCATTACCTACAATCCGCTTTAAGTGATATTTCACGGATTTTATTCCAGATTCCCATAGTCCACCAAAATTAGGTGTCCGTGGGGGAATAAACTTCCATACTATTCCTTCTTCACCTAAATAATCTGCTAATTTTTTGTCAGGATTTCTAATTAAATTGTTAATTCTTTGCAATTCGGCATTTGCGCCAACGAAGTTTTTTGCGTTGTCTGAGAAAATGATTGAGCATTTTCCGCGCCTAGCAATAAATCTCTTTAAGGTGGCAATAAATGCGTCAGTGGTGAGATCACTCACTAGTTCGAGATGCACTGCCTTTGTTATAAGGCAAATGAAAAGAGCTAAATATACCTTATGAAGAGTTCCTTTCCTCTGTCCCTTGTACCTAATAAAAAATGGACCGCAAAAATCGGTGCCGACATGATTAAAGGGTGAGCTTGGATTTACGCGCTCTGCAGGTAATGACCCCATAATTTGTTCGATAGTGACTGGTTTATTTTTACTACAAATTATACATTCATGGGTAATCTTTCTAGTTAAATTCCTACCTTGTAATGGCCAAAATTTCTGTCTCATAAAACACAATAATGCTTGCGAACCTACGTGTAAATATTTCCTGATGATAATGCTCAGCAATCAGCTTAGTTAGTTTGCATTTAACAGGCAAAATTATTTGATGTTTTTGTGAAAACATTACATTGGCCCCTTGTAATCGGCCTCCTACTCTCATTACATTATTTGCATCCAAAAAAGGGTTCAAAGAAAGTAAATTACTTTTATTATTAATGGGTTTACCTTGTTTTGTGCGAGGGAGTTGTAATTCTGAATAAAAAAACTACATTTTTGAACCTCTCTTACTAAAAAGGATTCTGCCTCATTTAACTCCTTTGAACTTACTCCTCCTGTTCTTCTCTGTGCTCCTTTCTGTTTTGCACACCTAGAGTTCCAAATGAACCTGAAAATATAACTAACAATACGTAATAATTTTAAATAATTGTTAGTGATATCTAGGACATTATCAATAAATTTTGAAGGCAAAGTGCATAAACAAGCAATGTCAGTTCTTTTTCTCAGTTCATTAGAAAATGTCTCTGTTTTTTCTAATTGTTCAAAGTCAATGTTCTTGTTAGGTATGACACCCTCACTCAAGAATGGAGGACCTTTCCACCACAGATCAGCATCATGCAGCTTGTCAAAATTCAGTCCTCGGGAAATAAGGTCTGCTGGGTTCTCCTCTGAACGCACATAATTCCACTGGCATGTATGTGTTAGCTCTTGGATCTGCAACACTCGATTAGCAACAAAAGTTTTTAGTACATGCGGAGGATTCTGAAGCCATGCTAACACTATGGTTGAGTCACACCACAGACATATTTTGCTGATGTCCAATTTCAATAAAGGCACCACCTTTGCAACAAGCTGTGCTAGCAGTACAGCTGCGCAGAGTTCCAGTCGAGGTACTGTCAGCGGTTTTAGTGGAGCTACTCTGGACTTGCTGCAAAGCAAATGTGAAGATAAATTATTGTCACTTCTACAGCGTAAATAGATGGCTACTCCGTATGCGTGTTCTGATGCATCTGAAAATCCATGAATTTGTATATCAGAAAAACTATCCTGTAAAACATATCTACTGACTTTCAAATTGTTGATAGATTGCATTGAATCAATAAAAAGTTGCCAATCCTTAATTATCCTTTCGGGTAGCGGATCGTTCCAATCAAGCTTCAATAACCAAAGTCTTTGGATGAAGATTTTTGCTTTTGTTATCCCTGGACCAAGCAGTCCTAATGGATCATAAATGCGAGCAATATCAGACAACACTGTTCTCTTTGTGTAAGTAGTTGGTTTCTTGATGGTTGATTTGTACGAAAAACAATCTATCTTTGGATTCCATAATAATCCTAAAGTTTTGATGCTCTGATCGTCATCGAAATTACTGAAAGAATATTCCTCTTGTCCATCCGGAAACTGCAAAAGATCAGGATGATTAGCACACCATCTGTGCAGACGCATTCCTCCACGTGATAATAGGTTAATCAATTGCGACTGTAATTCTTTAGCCTCTATTAGAGTATGGGCTCCTGTGAGTACGTCATCGACATAAAAATCCCTTTGTACTATTGGCGCTGCTAACGAAAAATTATTTTTCTCGTCTTCTGCTAATTGATTAAGTGTGCGTGTTGCTAGATATGGTGCGTTGGAAGTACCGTAAGTTATAGTCTTCAGTCTATAGACCTTAACTGGTTCTTCTTCACTACTCTTCCATAAGATGCGTAATAAATCTCTTTGATGTTCTTTAATCAAAATCTGACGATACATTTTTACAATGTCTGCTGTGAAGGCAATTTTATGCGTTCGAAATCTGCAAATAATATCAAATAGTTCGTCTTGAACTAACCCTCCATTCAGCAGAATATCGTTTAACGAAATTCCAGTAGTCGTAGGAGCAGTGGCATCGAACACTACCCTAAGTTTAGTGCTAGGTTTCTCGGGCCTGAAAACCCCATGGTGAGGAAGATAATATGAGAAACTAGAGCTATCCCCTTCATCAATTTCTTCGGAATGGCCTAATTCATTATATTCCTTAATGAAATCTTCGTATAAGTGTTTCATTGCGGGATTGCGAGTGAGCGAGTGAAGCGTTTAAGTAGATAATTCAGTCTTTTGCTAGCGTTTTCTCTCGATTCCCCTAAAAGGCTAAGTCCTTCCTCCTTAATTGGCATTTCCACTACATATCTGCCATCATCTTGCCTCGTGTGTGTACGAAGAAAGTGCTGTTCACAAAATTCCTCTTCCTGACTTTTCACTTTTTTTGCTTCATTAATACCTTCAATCTCCCAAAACCTTCTCATGTTGTCAGATAAATTATCCCCATTTTCCACAAACCCACAAAAATTATCAACACTGCCTTGCTGCGGCATGCGTACTGACCCGCTAACGATGTATCCAAAAACTGACTGATGGAGAATCAGGTCTTGCATATTTATTCTATTTGTTCCCAGTAAATCAAAAAATATTTCGTTAGATAATAAAACATGTATTTGACCAGGTTTATAAAACTCTGGATCAGCTAAACCAATGAGTTGCAACTGCTTAACATCAGGAATGTTTATATATCTAGCAGGCGTTACGCGAGTTATTTTTGGAACAACAAAAAATTGTAAGGTACGAATAAAATCTCTAGTAGCGTTAGCGATGGTTGCTATAGCTTTTTCCTTAACACCCATAACTGTACCATTGATACCTGAAATAGAAGCGTTTATTTTTCTTTTCTTCAAATTCAATAACTCAGCACCTTCTTTAGTAATGAAATTATTTTGAGAACCGGAATCCAGCAAGGCTCTCAGCGAGATAAATTTTCCATCATTACCCTTAACGAAAATAATTGCAGTTGAAAGTAGAACTTGTTTATTAAAAGAACTGGAAATATTCAGCGCAGTACCGTTAATGGACTTTGCTTGGTTGGTTTCATTAGTGTCACTAACCTTTTGGCTGCTTGCCA